ATAATATATTATATAAAATATAGATTATATTATACAGATTAATATATATTATTTATATTTATTATAGCATATATTTTATTCTATAATATTATATATATTATTATATATTATTATATATTTATAGAATATATATGTATTTATATATACAGATTCAATGAAATTATGTTTAAATGTGAATTAGGTAAGAAGCACTTCTCTCTGGACTGAGTGTGCCCACACAGGTGCTGGGGACATGGAGAAGTGTCATTAGCAATAAAATAATCCACATTTCTCCAGCTTGCTTGTGGCTGCTCCATAGCAGGCACAGCCAGCTTTTTTTTTTTTTTTTTTTTTTTTTTTTTTTTTTTTTTTTTTTTTTTTTTTTTTTTTTTTTTTTTTTTTTTTTAATTATTTACAAGAAGAATTCCTGGAAGCTTAGGATAAGATCTCATTTCCTGCCTTGAGCTCTTGGATGGACCTCCCAGCCACAGCCTGAGCTCCAGAGCCACAACAGGGGATCTGCCCTCAGGAACTCCAGGACAATGTGCACAACCTGATTTTTATCTCCCAAACCCCAAACTCTGCTCTATCCCTGTTTTTGTAGACAGTTTATTAAACCCCAGTAAACTTCCTGGAAGTTAAATAAGGAACCACATTCTGCTGCTGGGGAGCGATGGGGGGAGTGTTTTATTCCACACAAAACACCAATTTAAGCCTTGGGTTTGAAATTCTTGTAGCTACCACACCCCTTTGGTTTTTACCTGTCAATAGCATTGCACTGGTAAAGTTCCTTCAGAGCTTCCAAAATATGTCTTTCCTCAGGAGGGTCCAAATAGGGAAACCTAGGGTTAAAAATTTAATAGATTTGTTCGTTTTCATATTTACAAAAAGAATTTTTAAACCTCCCCAATGCACGTTCTCTGACCAAAGTTAGATAATCATAATAATCATCTTCTCTGTGTTACTGCACAACCTCCAGCTGTAATTTCTCATGACAAATCCCAGCATGGCACATACTAAACTGCATTTTCTATTCTTGTATGGTCTCAGAATTAAAAAATTCCAGAGAGATGAAACTTTTTTGAGTATAAAACACAGTATTTTAAGGATTTTAAGTACTCAAATGTGTAAAAAGCAGTATTTTAAGAATTTTAAGTATTTAAAAGAATGCTAAAACCCAGTATTTTAAGGATTATAAGCATCTAAAGGTGTAAAAACCAGTATCTTAAGAATTTAAAGGTATAAAACTGAGTATTTTAAGGATTTAAAAGTGTAAAAACCAGTATTTTAAGGATTCTAAGTATTTAAAAGTGTAAAAACCAGTATTTTAAAGATTTTAAGTATTTAAAAGAACACTAAAAACCAGTATTTTAAGGATTTTAATTATTTAAAGGTATAAAACTGAGTATTTAAAGGATTTTAAGTATTTAAAAGGACACTAAAATTCAATATTTTAAGGATTTTAAGTATTTAAAGGAACACCACAAACACACAAACAAACCCATTTAATTTGGGAAAGATGGGACTTTTGGCAGGGCCTCCAACTGAACTAGAGCTTGGGATCCAAGCTGGAATTCCAGTGCAGAGCAGCAGAAAAACTTGGCTGGGGACCTAATCCTGCCTCCTGCCCCTCCGGGAGCGGGATAATCCCACTGCAGGGAGGTCACCTGATGACATCGTGCACAGAAAGGCACTTCAAGGTGAGGATCACAGATGTCAGGCTGCTCCTCCTGATCTCTGGCACGGTGTGTTGGGGCATGCACTGCTCCCAGAACTCCCTGCTGTACAATCCAAAGCTCTTCCCCGCCGACGTCCGGCCGGCGCGGCCGGCGCGCTGCTTGGCTTCGCTCCTGCCCAAAAAAAAAAAACCAACATCCAAAGCTCTCATCCCTGCTGGCACCACCCAAACGAGCACAAAAACTCATCTTTGGAGATGGAAGAGGTATCCCTGCACAGCAGCTGAAAAATCCAGCTGTGCAAGGAATGAAGAAGAATTTCTGGGCATTTTTCGGAAGCTTAGCTTCACTCTAGCCCCAAAAAAACAAAAACCAACATCCAAAGCTCTCATCCCTGCTGGCACCACCCAAACGAGCACAAAAACTCATCTTTGGAGATGGAAGAGGTATCCCTGCACAGCAGCTGAAAAATACAGCTGTGCAAGGAATGAAGAAGAATTTTTGGCCATTTTCTGGAAGCTGTTGTATTCAGCAGTGCTCAGACCTCAGACAATGCCAATTCCTCCTTAATATCTGTAACTTCTGGCAAGTTGTATATCCTAAACCACTTCTTACTTGGTTTTAAATTGGTTAATTAAAACCAGTAAAAGTGGTTTTTAAACCTTAAAGGGGTTTTTAAATCTTAAAGGGGTTTTAAATTATGGGGCTTCGAGGTTGCTGCCTATCTTTTTATTTATTTTCTTTAAAGAGTAACCAACACAGAGCATTATTGCTAGAGCAGCTCCCAGAAACAGCAAGTGAGTGACATTTTTAACTTACTTTGAGATGGGAACCACCTCCAGGATGTCCAAACCAACTCGGGGATTATGATTCAACTGCTTCACAAAGCCACTGTCCACCACATATCTGACAAAAACAACCCAGAGAGGTAAAAAACAGAGGGCTCAGCAGGTAACTGACATATGGATTTAATAAAAAAAAAACACATTTACTCTACCTAGACCCTGGTTATTTAGTAGATTTGATTTCAAATTAGGTTGAAAAATATTGGTGACCTCTAAGTCTATAGTAATATCAATGGTTTTCTTACTACACACCCAAAAAAAAGGCAATAGTAGCAGGAAAAAAAAGTGTTTTTCCAAAGCCAGACCTTTCTGAATTATTCCCTCTGTCACAACTTTTTATGAGGGACAGAAATCAATACCTGACTCCTTCAATGGTCAGAGATGTTGCAGCAATGTTTGTAGAGACCACACATTTTCTGATGCCTCTGGGAGCTGGCAAAAATATCCTTTTCTGTTGATCTAAAGTGACAGTAAATAATGATGACAGTAAAATAAAGTGACAAAATAGAATAAAACAATATAAAATAAAGCAAAATAAAATAAGGCAAAACAAAATAAAATAAAATTAAAGTAAAATAAAATGTGAGGTCATCTGGACTTTCAGTTACTCAGTATCTCCTTCCTAACTGAGGATCTTGAAGTCATATCCAGTGGATTTGGATTTTCACTGGATGCTCCAGTGCAAGTAGAGAAGGCTGAAGTTTGATTTAGTCTATGATGACCACAAAAATAAACCCACCCCGAAGTGCCAGAATATTGTAACAAAGGGGTTCCCTAACACCCTTTTCCCAACCCAAACAGAAAATCTGATGAGGATAATGTTTGGAACAACTCTTGCAGCCCCGATTCCTGTGATGAAGTGAGATTTTGGGCTCTGACCTGTGGACATGGAGCCATAGAGAGGCAGGATGAGGAGCCCCTCCACAGCCCGGTCGTGCACCTCGTACCGGTAATCGATGGACTCTGCTTTCTTGAAAAGCAAATCACAAGCTCTTTCTATCTCATTCTGCCCTAAAAGACACAAAAGAGCATTTCAGTGACCTCATTAGCTACAACTCTGCCTTCCTCCTTTGCAGCACCTTTAAACAAGGTTGTTTTGTCAATATGCAGAACTGCCAACATCATTAAAAGAAGGAATTAATGAGAGGGGGTTTGGGAGGTGACATCCAGCCTTTCCACAGGGGCTCTCACCAAGGATTTGCCTTAAAATATTAGATATCTTTTAATTAGATATTAGATATTAGATATTAGATATTAGATATTAGATATGGACCTGGCCCATGCATTGATGCAGGATTTTACAGCTAAAATAATTCTTCCTCCCTGAATTAACAACAAACTAAACCATGCAGACAACACAGAGTCAATCTGGCTATTCCTAATATGCTCTGAAAACTATTATTTCACAGGACTTTGTGCATCAAACTGCACCTTTCCCTTCTCACTGCTCTGGGAGAAACCAGGCAGGCTTTGGAAGCTTTTCTTCTCTGCTGGCAGTGCCATGATTCACCTGGAGTATCCAGGAAAATTCTCACCTGTGAGGAAAACCAGGATGTCACCTTCAGGTTCATTTAAGTGAACATCCAGGGTGACCTTCACAGCCTGGAACAAACAACAAACAAGCCAAAATCAGTTGAAATCCCATTTAATTCTTGCTAGGACTCATCATACCAACTGATCCTCCCCTATCTCCTGCAGAGATGCTGAGAACACAACACAGCAGCTCATTCTTGTGGCCTCCCTCAGATGAAAACCACCCCAAAACAGAGAGAAAACAAACCAGGCCAGACCTCTGTGACATAGGCAGAGCTGCCCACATCCCTGGGGCTCAGCAGGTTGCAGAAAATCTCCTTGACAGGGTAACTTCTCCCTGGAATGTGCAGCACTGAGCAGTGCCCAAAGAACTCTGAGAGCTTTTCCACCTCCAGGGTGGCTGACATCACCACCACCTTCATGTCTGTCCTCCTGCCTGCTGGCTTCTCCTGCAGGAACAGCTTCTTCAGCAGCCCAAATAAAATATCCTAGCAGACAAAAAAAGAAACAGCTGATGTTAGTAGCCTGGTTTTGTTAGAAGAGCCTGACAAACTTGGAAGTTTGATGATTTTATCCCATTGATACAGTGAAAATCACATATTCCAAGCCCAAGCACTCTGAAGAAAACACACATTTGCCCTGGACATTTTGGCTTCTAGAGTTTAATGAATTTTTTTAGCAGCTCCCCTCACAGCCTATAGGCAGCACCACTATAACTCAAACCCCTTTGTTTTTCATTTTTATACTCTCTTGGTCAAGTAATTTGTGAGAAGTTACCTCAGACCCATTTTCCATCCCATTTTCCAGCCTGTGTCCCCTGACTGTGCATGCACCCTTCCTTGGTTTTATTTATTGCTACAACCTCAGCAAATTTATTTTACTCTGTGCTGCTCTTAATTACAAATCTGCTCCTTCCATCACTTCAGCTCAGTTATTGGCAATTCCCTCAGATGCCTGAGGGCAAACTGGGACCCAGGAAAGCACTTTCCCCTTTCCCAGCTGGACTGGGAGATTGTTTGCTGGAGCAGGTTTTCTGACACACAGCACAATCTCCTGAGGTCTCAGTGACCTCAGCGTCCCTTTGCTGGCCACAGAGGAGTCAGGGTGACCTCTGAAAGCTTTTGAGACTCAGGTCTAGATGCCTCCAGGACCCAACAGCCATAATCTCTTTGCACAGTCACATACACACCCTAAGAAACATTGGGCCTTAGAGCAAGAGAGCTGTTTTGGCTTTTATTTTGGTATTTTGTGTTGGTATATTTTTGAAATTAGTATTCTAGAAAGTCTGCATTCTGGCTCCAAACTCCTGGAAATTTTAGGAGAGTATTCAACACCCAGCAAAGTTTTAGCTGCATTTAAAAGCAACAACTACAAAAACTCCAACACTATTGGAGGCCACATGTTATTTTCAACTTATGTGGCATGGACTAAACAAAGCAGCACTTCTGTGCTCTTAGGACAGCAAAAGAACAAAGCACACCCATGGAAAGTTAATCAAAACCCCTGGGGAACATGCTAAATGAAAGGAAGGGATAAACAGAGCACAGAAAAGGAGAAACAGTGACCCAAAAACCAGATATGAGGTGACACTCACGGTGCTGAGGCTCCTCTCGTGAGCTTCATCCAAAACGATGACACTGTACTTGCTGAGGAGGGGGTCTGTCAGGATTTGCCTCAGAAGGCACCCATCAGTCATGTACCTGATGGCAGTGTCCTGCAAGGTTCAATCACACACTCAGCTGCCAGCCTGCCTTTGTATTTCAAAGCAAACCTTTCTGCACAGATCATTTGTCCAGGACACCACAAGGATTTTCATTAAAAGATACTTAAGGGCCTGGCCCATGCATTGACGTAGGATTTTACAGCTGAAAGAATTCTTACTGTGCTCATGCACAGCCGCATGGGTGCTTGGCAATATTTCATCTTCAAAGTGCCCAAAAAACTCCCTCAAATGAGTCTGAGGACACAAACAGCTGCGACAGCCCCTTCCCAAAGCCTGGGTGACCCTGCCATACCCCCAGGACAGTCCCCAGGGCCCCACCTCGGAGGTGCAGTCGTCGAAGCGGACCTGGTAGCCCACGAGAGCCCCCAGGGCACAGCCCATCTCCTCGGCCACCCTCTGTGCCACCGACACGGTGGCCACGCGCCGCGGCTGCGTCACACCGATGGCACCGTGCTTGGCCAGGCCTGCGGGGACACAGAAGGGCTTGGGTTGGAAAGGGAATTAAATATCTTGTTCCACCCCGTCCTGGGATACCTTCCACTATCCCAGGTTGCTGCAAGTCCTCTCAAGCCTTGGGCACTTCCAGGGATGGGGTGTGGGAGTCCATGGCTTCCCTCTGGCTGCCCTGGCAGGTCTGAGACCCATGGACAGAGATCACAGACAGTGTCTCTGTACAGAGCCCCCAGAGACACTGTCTGTGATCTCTGTCCATGCAAAAGAGCTTTCAATCTTACAGGATGAATTACAAGCTCTGAGTGTTTGATATAAGTAATAATTAAGTGTGGCACGGGTGCAAAAGTAAAATTTTAGGATTCTAGATGAGGGGTCCAAAGGGCACAAGCTGGAGGAAATTGGGTGTGCCTTGTCCTTTTTCTCCTCTTCATGCCCTCCATGTCTCACTGTGGTGTTGGCATTTTTCTGTTGGTTCAGGCTGGGGACACACTGTCCAACGTAGGTGACAGATATTGGCACGTTCTTGTAAATCCAGCCCAGGGAGTTTCTGGTATTGAATGTTTGTAACATCCCACTGAGGGCAGAGCCCCACACGCTGCCCTGCAGGACAGAGCTGGGCAGGGCAGCAGGACGTGTGAGAGATAAACAGAATAAACAACCTTGGAACCAGCACAGATGAATTATGACTTCTTCTTTGGCTGTGAGGCTCAGAGACTTCCTACAATCTTGGAATCATCAATACCACAGATTCTGACAATAGGGAATATTCCCTGGGCAATCTGTGCCAGGCCCTCCCATCCTCACAGGGAACAAAAATATTCCCAATATCCCACCTAACCCTGCTCAGTGAGAAGCCATTCCCTGTGTCCTGTCACTCCAGACTCCTTCAGGTACTGGGAGGGGCTCTAAGATCAGCCCTGGAGCCTTCTCCTCCAGGCTGAGCATTGCGAGTTGTGCTGCTCCAGGTCACTTCATAACACACTTCTATGTGAAAAACACTAATGACTTGTTTTTTAAAATCTTAAAAGTTTATTTGAATAAAATAGTTATAAAATAAATATTATATATTACTATACAATTACTATATTACAATTACTATACTATACAATTACTATAACGATTTATAGTAATAGAATAGTTATAAAAAATTAGTAATAAAATCACAGAGTAATAAAAATTTGGATAATGAGGATTAGGATTCTATGAGATAATAAAAAGCAAAGAATTATGGACGTCTGGATGTTTTTGGGCACTAAGTTGCCAAAAACATGCTTTGTGAACAAAGGAGTAACACTTAAAAGCAATAGCCTGTTACATAGTTATATATTTTATAGATGATGCATAAATTCTTTGCAAATTAAGAATTTTTCTGGTTTTTGTTAACTTCTCTTTAATCTTGGTGGTTCTATAAAGATGGAGAGAAGGTGGAAGGATGTTTGTCTTTTCTCATAAGGAGGATGTAACTCTTTAGGTGTCCTGTTGCTGTTACCTCTGCGTGAAGAGTTCCTTGATTATCCCATCCCTTTCTTGAGCTAGTAAAAAAAAATCTTACATCACAGTTTTTATGTTAATATTATAACCTAAAACTGTATTTACCACACTACTTAAAAAGGATTAATACAGCATTACAAAATAGCCCTCTATAATATACATAGTATTTAATATTTGCGAAGAGCCAATCATAGAACACGCACTTTTCACACCTACATAATGCACACGTAGCCACGGCTTATTTTTTTAAGCTTTAACCAAGCCACCTCCTCTCACTACAGCCCAGCCCGAATCTGCGTCACCCATGGGGGGGTGAGGGACGACAGCGGAGGTGGGGGGGGTTGGTTCGTTACCTGCCTCGTAGAGGTATTTGGGCAGCTGCGTGCTTTTGCCGCTGCCCGTCTCGCCGGTGACGATGAGGAAGGGCTGCTCCAGCACGGCCTCCACCAGCTGTCGGCGGGAGCGGCGGATGGGCAGGGCGGGGCCGTCCATGGCGGCTGCCGGGGCTCACCTTCCTCACCTTCCTCACCTTCCTCCCTCAGCTCCCTCAGCTCCCTCACCTGAGGCCCCGCCCACGCGCGCACCTGGCGGGAACCCCGCGCGCGCGACCCCCGCGCCCTTCGCGCACGCGCGCCGCGCTTCCCACACAGCTCCCCGCCTCCTCGCTAAGCCACGCCCACACAGCGCTTCCCGCCTCCTCGCTAAGCCACGCCCACACAGCGTTTCCCGCCTCCTCGCTAAGCCACGCCCACACAGCGCTTCCCGCCTCCTCACCAAGCCACGCCCACACAGCGCTTCCCGCCTCCTCGCTAAGCCACGCCCACACAGCGCTTCCCGCCTCCTCGCTAAGCCACGCCCCCCCCGCTCTCCCCTGAGCCCTCACGGCGCCTTAGGCTGAGGGAATCGCCTCAAGAGTGGCAAAAATCACAAAGTTACAAGAGTGGCAAAAATCAAAAAGTTGCAAAATTTGGAAGGGCCTTCAAATCAATGGGCGGGGAGAACAGGCTGCTCAGATTTATTGGGAATTGCCTCGAAATCAAAGGGCAGGGAGAACAGGCTGCTCAGATTTGTTGGGAATTGACCCAGGAATGGCAAAAATCACAAAATTACAAAGTACAAAGGGTTGGAAGGACCTTGAAATCAATGGGCAGGGAGAACAGGCTGCTCAGATTTATTGGGAATTGCCTCAAGAGTGGCAAAAATCACAAAGTTATAAAATGCGAAGGGTTGGAAGGACCTTGAAATCAATGGGTGGGGAGAACAGGCTGCTCCAATGTATTGGGAATTCACCCAAAAATGGCAAAAATCACAAAATTACAAAGTACAAAGGGTTGGAAGGACCTTGAAATCAAAGGGCGGGGAGAACAGGCTGCTCCAATGTATTGGGAATTCACCCAGAAATGGCAAAAATCACAAAATTACAAAGTACAAAGGGTTGGAAGGACCTTGAAATCAAAGGGTGGGGAGAACAGGCTGCTCAGATTTATTCCGTGACAAAACTTGAGCCTTGAGTGCACACGTCAGTGTCCTGATAGAACGACCCTGATTAGGAAAAACACATGTTTTAAAATCTAAGGGACAAGAAACAATCTCGAATTCTGTCATAAATCAGAGTAACATTCTCTTTCCATAGGTCAGCTAAATGTCACACTGTGTCACATTAGGCTGTTACACAATATTGAACAAAACACAATTGTACACATAGAGAAAACAGTAAAATATTGATAAACAAACCTTCACCAAAGCCTCTATCTTAGAGAGGAAAAGTTCTTTGATCTTTTTATACTTTCAAGCCTTATCAACAAGATATGAGACTCAATGAGAAAGAGAGAGCAGCCAACAAGTTCTAAGTGATGTGTTAGAGAAAACAAATTACTTGCTAGAATTTTAAAAGATTAGGGTTGGACATGCTTCAGTGATGTCAGACCTAGGGCCAGCTTAACAAAGCTGTGGGGAAAAAAAAAAAAGAAAAATGATCCTTCTGGTAGCAGACACAAAAAATGTAGAATTTAGGGGACATCTGGTAGAACTCCCAGGATGTGGAATGTGGATAAACCCAACTCAGCCCCAAGTGGGTAAAAGGTAATTCTGGTAATTTAGTGACCACCGACCCAAGAAACCCACTGACCCCAGAGAGAAAGACTCAGCATGGCACTAATTAGCATCAGAAGCAAATCATTAACCGATAGAAGATAGAATGCTAATTAACGAGTGGACTGTGCGACTCGGCGGCAAATGAACACCGATTCCTTTGTGTGCCAAAATGTGTAAAAAGTTTTGATGGTTGGAGTGCCTGCTCTGGGAGGTTCACCCAGGCTTGGCAAGGCTGAAGTAAATATTCGATGTCCCTCTGGAATGTGCAGGTATCGCCTTGTTGCACTGAGGGAGACAAATGGAATTTTTAAGGACATTAATAAGCTTTTAAGGACATTAATAACCCCAAAACTCCCTGTGATGAACAAATGAAGGCGCTGCAGCTCCGCCTGTGAGTTCACAGCAGACCTGAAGGTGGCAAGCACACAACACTGAACACACACCAGCCGCAGCCCAGCTCCCCCGTTTTCCCCAAAATGCGATTTTTTTGGGTGTATTTTGCCCCTAGCTCAGTGCTTGCTCCCCTCACACGTTGTTGTTTCACCCTCCACTGGGCTCCATCACTGAAAAAAAGCCCACAATAAATTTGGTGTCACACCAAGAGCAAACTCAGGCCACCCACTGAGTCTGGTTATCCCAAATTCCCTCAATTTTTGCCTCTGGCACAATGGGAGAAATATTTCCCCACTAGGAACGTGCACTTTAAGGCTTGGAAAATATTTCAGCAGTGCCCAGTGTTGCCACCTTCATCTTTGTCTAACCTACAAATAATTGTTTAGTCTGCCAACAACCAGGCATTGTAAAATCTCACAATAAGCTGATTTGTGACAATCTGACAAAAAAAAAAAAAAAAACAAAAAAACCAGTGGCATGTGCCAATACATTCTATGCTGTTACACCCCTTTATGGAAAATATCATATTTATTGCCTCACCATTTACTTACGTTGCCACTGGTAATTTACAGTTAATGGTGATCATATACCCATTTGAAACTTCAAACTCATTTCACTTTTTGCTGTGTATTTGCCAAGAAATATTTAATGGTTTTAATAGGCACGCATTTATGTACACACACTTGCAGTCTGCATGATTTTGTTTAAATCACATCTTTATTTTGGTTTTTTTTTTTTTTTTTTTTTTTTTTCAATTTTTTTTTTTTTTTTTTTTTTTTTTTTCTTTCTTTTTTTTTTTTTTTTTTTTTTTTT